CAGTGCAGCAACAGTGAAGAGCCATGCAGGTCAAACAAGCTGCCCTCAAATTCCTTTAACTCTTGTGGCATGCCCGAACTGTTACACGCGTCCCACCCTTCCCTTTCCTCTCACCACTTCTCCCCTCCGCTGCGTCTCTCCCTTTCCCACACCTTCTCCTCTCTTCCCCTTCTCCTCTCTTCCCCTTCTCCTCTCTTCCCCTTCTCCTCTCTTCCCCTTCTCCTCTCTTCCCCTTCTCCTCTCTTCCCCTTCCCTCCATGACCTCAATCATCCGCTTTTCACCCTCGTCCCATCCACGTGGCATGTGTCATCCACATGGCGTGTATCCTCAATGTGGCATGTGTCATCTGCATGGAATATGTGTGTGTGTCATCCATATGGCATGTGTCATCCACATGGCATGTGTCGTCCACATGGCATGTGTCGTCCACATGGCATGTGTCATCCACATGGCATGTGTCATCCACATGGCATGTGTCATCCTATGGCAGTGGCAGCGCTGCAAGAGAGACACGTGACGCTTCGCCAACGGCTGCTGGGGTAAGCTCTCCTCCTTCCCCGTTCCCCGCTTCCCCTTCCCCCTTCCCCCTTCCCCCTTCCCCCTTCCCACTTCCCCCTTCCCCCTTCCCCCTTCCCCCTTCCCCTTCTCCATTCTCCTCTTCTCCACGTCGTCTCCCCTCTTGGCAAACCGCCCCCCCTCTTTCCCCTTTGTTTGTGTGCATGTGCGTGAATGCATTGCTCTTTCGCTCTACATGCCATCTTTGCTCATTTATGTGAAACCAGCAGCACCTATGACACCCCTTTGAGTCGACTCAAATAATATCTTGGTCTTGCTGGGTGTAGGAATCGTGGTCTTGCTGGGTGTAGAAACCAAACAGAACAGGTGTGGGAGATTTTGCTCTTGCCTGGTAATGCTCCACAACTTTGCTCCAAGGTCTTACTGCTGATGACTTCGTTTGTTTTTATGGTGTGGCATGGCATGGGGTGTTACGGAATCAACATCTGCATGGGACTCATGACATGCCATGGCATGGCATGCCCCCACATTCCTTGACATCACCTCACATGGATCCGTCTTATCTTACGGATCCACATCACCCCATGGTATGCATGAATGCATGCAGACGGGCGTTCATGACTCGAGTGGCTCAGCTGCAGTCGAGAGTCCACCAGCACTTTCAGAACACTGACATGCGCCACACCACAGCAGCAGTACCACCAGTAGCAGCAGCAAAAGCAGCAGCAGCATGCAGGCGGGCATTCATGAATCGAGTGGCTGAGCTTCAGACGGATTTTCACCTGTACTCCCAACACACGGACATGCAGCAGCACCCTCAAGAGAACCCCGTCTTTCCCCGCTCCCTTCGCCCTTCTTGTTTCTTGTTTCTTGAATTCGTTCCTCTTTCACCCCATGCCATGCATGGTGCGTTCATGACTCGAGTGGCTCAACTGGAGTCGGAGATTCACCAGCACTTCCAACGCACTGACATGTGTCACACCACAGAAGCATCACTGCGCCATCAGCAGCACACAGAAGCATCACAGCGCTCTGTCAATCCTCCCCGTCCCCACTCCCCCACGGCCTCAGGCATCACAGCACTCTGCATGACTGTGGTGAGTAGAGGTAAGGATACATGGGGTGAAGGGAGGAGGGTGGGTGGGAAGCATGGGAGCAAACAGGGAGTTCACTGCCTTAGGGGCAGCATCCTCTGGGGTTGTGCCTTGTGGGTCGGGGTGGGGTGGGTGGAATCTGCGCGGCACGGCACTCGGTGCTAACAGATCTGGCGTTCAAAGCTTAATGGACACCGTCAGAGTCGACCGGCCGGCGGCTCTGGTTCGCGTCAGCTCTAGCTACGTGAGGGGTGTAATTTGAGTCTTGGGGTGGAAGCAAATGTCCACTCCACGGCCACACTTCACCCCAAATGGCACAGCCTCTAGGGGGTGCTGTTTCCTTTGGAAGTGGGCTGTCTGCTGCTCCTACTGCTGGCAGGTGAGGGGTGTGAGGAGTTGGGTTGGGGGGAAGGTGGTGGTGGTGAGAGGAAAGCGGGGGACTGAAATGCCTTAGGTGGGTGAGTGAGAGGAAAGTTGGCTGAAACCCCCAGGATGGGTGAGTGAGAGGGAATGGGGCTGACTGGAACACCTTGTGTGGGTGAGTAAGAGTGAAGTGATTGGGAAAGGGGGCTGAAACTTCTTGGATGGGTGAGTGGGTGGGAAGAGAGTGGGAAGAGGGCTGAATTCCCTAAGGTGGATGGCTGAATCCCTGAATCTGGGTTGATGGAGGAACAAGGGGTTGGAAACCTTAGGGTAGGAGGAAGAGTGGATGAGCAACGGGCTGAAATTCCTAGGGTCGGTGGGTTAGTGGAAAGGAAGGGAGCTGAAATCCTTGTCTTGGGTGGGTGGAAGAGAAGGGAGTTGACATTCCTAGGGAGGGTGGGTGAGTTAAGGAGAAGGGTGTTGGACTCGTCGTGTGGGTGAGTGGAAGAGAATGGTGTGGAAGCCTCTAAGATGGTTGGTAAAAGGGATGGGGGTTGAAAACCGATGGTGTTTGGTGGGTGAGTGGAAGAAAAGGGGCCTAAAATTCTTAGATTGGATGAGTGGAAGGAAATGGTTGTGTCTGCTGGTGACGGAAATTGTTGTAAAGTGCCACGTGTTTCAGGATGCAATAGCTCTGTCATGTGAGCTACGCTCCTTGGCTCAGTATACAGCGCGGTGTGAGCCATGCGAAGGAAGACGGAACTGCAATTTGAGGCATGGGATGAGTGGGGTTCGAGACTTTCAAGTTTCAAGCTGGCGCAAATACAGGGTTGCATTTCAATACAAAGCCCAATTTGTGGGGCAGCGGATGGGTTGAGCAAATGGAGATCACTTGGCTACATCTGCAAGCTGTGACATGAGAAGGTGCTATAAGATGCTCGAGTGTTGATTTTACCGGATAAATGCCCCCGTTTCAGGAATCAATCTGAGCACTTGATAGTGACATTGAGACTATAAGTACCTGTACCTATTTCAATGAAATGAAGTACATTTCATGTTTGTAATTGCTAGTTGTAGGAGCTTTTCTGGGTATAGTGCATAGCACTCCCAAACTCAGTTGTATGAATCTTGCACGCACCCAATAATTAGCAGACTCTGGCTGTTTTGTCATATTATATTGGGGCTTTTTAAACCGCACATTCTGCAGCGAAGTTCGTTGAGCAAAACACGAGCATCAACTGAATTCCCTGGCTCATGCTCTTTGTCGGATGCAGGCACCTCAGCTATGGCGCAAGCCGAAACAGCTGTCACCTGAGGGTCTTCGCTAAAACTGACATCGCCCACACTCGTAACCATACCCTTGGTTCATTCATGCCCTTTGTCGTTTTTTGTGTTGATAATGTACAATTGATGCCTGTTTGAGCCCCTCCCGACTGCCTTGTGAAGAGGGCGTATAAGCTGTGACAAGCAACTCGCATAAGTTTCGTCAAATCGCAGCTAGCTAAAAAGGACTCGCAGGTGCTTAAACAAGATCTGTTACCTTATTTGACTTCAGTCTCTTCTGCTTGACCTCGGTCTGTTCGTTACTATTGGTTGATAACCACGCGACGCGCTTATAACGTGGGAGCAACATGCTGGGGAAACAGCTTCGGGCGCAGCGTTTCCATCCGGCGCAAGGCAAATCCGCGTGCACTGGTTGGGCATCAATTGTACAAGGCACGCACATGTTTGGTGAAATTGAAACGAGTGGTCGTGGCGTTATGCTCTTTACAAACTACACCGCTTACAGACTTGATTTTCAGCTCAGCGTACACTAATATTGCTTGACAAAGAGGTTTTCCACCACACGACAGTTTTGTCCAATCAGAAGGCTCGCAACAACCAGCGCAATGAGTACCATGCGGAGAAACCTACGGCTGTGCGCATGCTTGCGGATGTGGCGGCCTTCTCATTCGCAAGGAGGAGCGCCACCACGCAAGGATGGAAATCTTCCGCATGGAGAAGCGCCACCGCGCAACCCTTCTTCCCGCCCATGGATTTTGCCGCCCCTTACGTCTTTCTGTTTACGTCTTATGGATTTTGCTCGGCAAGATCACCCTTTCTGCAGGTGTGCGCAGGATCAGGTTACGTTGTCGTTCCTCTCCTTCGAGTGTGATAATAGGATGTCCGACGGTTACTAATGCAGATGGAACTCTCTTGTGACCAGCGGGTTTAAGTAGTTTCGCGTTCTCGTTTCTTAGTGTCTCACAGGGAGGGTCACATTTGCGGTTCCCAACTCGTTCTTAGCAGACGTGGAATTTTCGCAGCGAGTGCAGATTAGGTGCGCGCAACGAGTACGCGCAGGTCGCATGTCGCCATCAGACGGTTAGTCGTCGCTCCAAGGAAGAAATCCTCTCGAAGCGCTGTCCTTTTTCATTCCCATTCTCTGTACGGTATCGAACCATTTTCTGCTGATAAAAATCCGCTTGCTTCCCGCCATTTCCGACCCTCATCCTCTTTCCAAACGAAAATAACTCGCGGAATGTGCAGTCAGGCGAATGCTATCTGAGGCCATGCCGGGAGCGTGGCTTGAAGGTCGCCCACTCGCCTGACAGCGAGCTTTAATGGCCAGCGAGTCGCCTCTGCATCGCCCTCCGCCACACGTTCTCGCGTCACTGCCTCCTGTCGCCTCCACCTGCCATGCACAAGCAGCAGCTGTAGCCAGCGCTTTTACCGCCGTAACACCCGCGATTGTAGCTGACCCTCGTTCCTCCGCAGCCGCGGTTTTCGTTTCTCAAAAAGTTTCCGGTAGCGCGTCTTTTGGGGGAAATCCCACGTTTAGGATCCACAATCAACGGTCAATGGAGCCCGCTAGTCCAGAATCGACGGTAGATAGTGAAATAGGTATCGCAAGAGATAGTGCGCCTCGAGTAGCCTCCTCGTTAACTCGCGACGATGACGATCAGGCAGTTGACGGCGGAGATTTTGTCCGCTACCACAGCGAGCCGCGCCCGAAAAAATCCGGCAAATTGGGCGGAATCGGCGGAATGGGCGGGATAGGCGGGATAGGCGGAATGCGCATGTCGAATCTGGGGAAAGCGCTAGGGTTGCGCGAGTTGGCGCGAGAAAAAGCAGATGCGGGGAGCGAAGGGGGAAGCAGCGGTTCAGGTCACGCGCGACCAGCTGCGCCTTCCGCTCCGCCCGCGCACTTGCGCCCGCACCGCGGCTACCTCAAACAGATGTCCATGCCCGCGGGGAAAGCCACCACTGATGCAGCCGCCGCCGCCGCCGCCGTAACTGCCGCAGCCGCAGCGCGCGGAGCAGAGGGGATGAGCGGGGGAGCGGGCGGGGGAAAGGGTGGCGGAACGGGGGGAGAGAAATTGCGGTGGGGGGAGTGGATGGGGCGACCGCACCATCAGGAAGGGAGAGGGGGAAGTAGGGGCGGGGGGGGGATGGGCGGGGATAACGTGGGAGGGGCGAGCACTCGTGTGGGATGGCTGGACGCATCTGGACGGTCGGATTTCGCGATTATTGTGACGAGGACAAGTGGCGCGCTCTGGTTGGAGGAGATGCACAGGCGTAGGGTGCATCACGCGCTGTGCGGGTTTGGGCGGGAAAGGAAGAGCCTTGAGGCCTTTGCAATGGCGCAGCAGCGGAAAGAGGACGGGGAAGGTATAGTGGGGGAGGAAAACCAAGGGGAGACTGGGGGAGAGGGTGGAAAAGGGGGTGGAGCAGAGGGGGAAGACAAGGGATTAGAGGGAAAGGAGACGATTGAGAAAGGGTCGGCGAGTTCTGCTCGTGCTGCAGCTGCTGCGTTGGCGATTCCACCTAAGCTAGTCCCTGGCGCGTTGAAGCGTGCTCCGTTAACCAGAAAGGTGAAACGGGGACTTGAAGGGGTGGGGGATGGGGCAGTGTACAGTGGGGTCACTGTAGAAGGTGTGCTTATAGGGGGTGTTATGCAAGCGGGTAATGCTGCCAGTGGCAGTGGTGGGGGTCGCACTGGTTTGGACGGGGATTTGGGAAAAGGGGTTGGGGAAAGTAGGGGAGGCGGCGGAAGAGGGGACGAGAGTGGGGGAGTTGGCGGAGAGAGGGGAGAGGGGGGCGGAAGTAGAGAAGGGGGAGGTGGGGGCAGTGGGGAAGAGGAAGAGGATCGGGAGGAACGAGGGTCGGATTTTGCTCTAGAGGAGCAAGGAGAAGACGAGGAGGAGGAGGAGGAGGAAGAAGAAGAGAGCTTGAGAGGAGATGAAGAAGCAGACGAGGACGAGGAGGGAGGAGCGTTGGCCAGACGGTCAGCAAGCAGTGGCAGCGCTATCATCCGAAGGAGAAGGTTACAGGAAGAAGCAAGGCAAGGAGGAGGGAGAGGCGCAGCAGCAGCCGCAGCAGCAGGAGGAACGGTGGGAGAAGCACGGGTGCAGCGGGGAAGCAGCGGGGGAGGAGCAGCCGTGCACGTGCCGCACTGGAGGAGAGCCAGCGGGGGAGGGGACGGGGAGAGATGGCAGACAGCACGTTATGAACCGAGCCCAACCGTTTCAATCGACTGCACCATGTCTTCCACTGCCTCGTCCCCCCTAGACCCCGCTCTCATGCAATCCCCGTACTACCCACACCATATCCTGCCGCACAACCTGCCGCCCCTGCACGTGCAGAACCGGCAGCACCGGCGGCAGCTGTCGAATCAGTCGTTCCCTGTGGGGCTGCAGCCGCAGGGCCCCCGCTCGCCTCTCTTCTCCATGCCTCCAGATGCTGGCCTTCCCCCCGCTCCTGCTCCTGCTCCTGCTCCCGCTGCTGCTGCTGTTTCTGCTGGTGGTGGTAGTAACGACGGTGCTGGTGCAGGTGGTGTGGAGGTTCTATCTGCTGGGCAGCAAGAGGATGGAGAAGCAGCAAGAGCGGCAGCAGCAGCACTGGCAGAATTAGAGGAGGCTGTGGAGCAGAGCGAAGAGAAGGGCGATGAGAATGACAAGGAGCAGAGTGCAGAGCAGAGCATACAGCAAAGCTCAAGCGCAGGACGGAGGAGAGTGATGGCTCGTTTCCCCAGGGCCATGTCCACTCCTGCTGGGATTGGCAGGTCGCCTTTAGGGGGTAGCAGCCCTCTGTCGGATGTGGATGATGGAGAGGACGACAACAGGGTGCGTGGGGAGGAGAGTGCGGAGGAGAGTGGGGAGGAGGAAAGTGGGGAGGGAAGTGAGGAGGGGAGTGGGGCGGCGAGTGAGGGGGGAGGAGGGGGGAGTCCTCACATGAGTGAGTATGAGGTGGGTGGTTTACAGGAAACCATTACCGAAGGCACTGAGCCTTCAGAAACCAGCCACAACCACCACAGCCAACCCTCATCCCCTTTAAGACACGACCCAGTATCGTCACCATGCGCCGAAGCAGCCGCCGCAATTGCAGCCGCTGCCGAAGCAGCGAACCCGAGCCTGCCGCCGACCCTGGCCTCCCTGGGGAAGAAAGCCGAAGCAACGCTGTCGACCCGAACCTACCGAGACAAGGACGGGATAGAGTGGCACAAGCGCGGACCTCTTACCGAAGCTGCTGCTGTGGAATTTGATACCGAGCCTATGGACATGCCTGCTGTGGTGGATCGGTATGGGTTTGTGGCAGAGGAGGGGGAGGGGAGGGAGGGGACTGGGGGAGGAGAGGAGGTGAGAGGGGTGGCAGGGGTGCATCCTCCGCAGGCTAGCTTGTTGGAGAAGGAGGAACGGCTTTTGTTCATCAAGTAAGGACGAGTACATATGTTAGGCACCCCAAAAGCATGGTCCACACGCAAGCTTGCTGGAAAAGGGAGAGAAGCTGCAGTGCATTCACGTGACATAACAATTAACACCCTCGTTGTGAATCTGCTTCTGTAATCAAAGCAGATACGCCATCGTGTGTCAAGCAATCGGGTTGCTTCCTGGCCTCTCATCCCTTGTCATCCCTTGTCATCCCTTGTCATCCCTTGTCATCCCTTGTCATCCCTTGTCATCCCTTGTCATCCCTTGTCATCCCTTGTCATCCCTTGTCATCCCTTGTCATCTCTTGTCATCCCTCTCTCTCCCCTTCCTTCTTCCACACTCTGCCCATTTTTTCCCCCGTTTCCACAATCTTCTTCCTGCTCCTTTGCAATTGTTGATCTGCTCAAAAGTCACCTTTCCATCCTCTGTCATTCTCAATCCAATCAGAGAGGAGAGGGAGGTGCGCAGGTGGCGTGCTATGATTGGTCTAGGGCCCATGGACTGGAACCTCTATCAGAGGAAGCACCCCCGCGAGGTCAAGAAGCGGATAAGACAAGGCGTGCCGGACTGCCTGCGTGGGATCGTGTGGCAGCTTTTGTCTGGTAGCCGGGAGTTCTTGTTGATGAATGAAGGCGCGTATGAGGTGAGCCGTGGTTGGAAGATTTTGAGAGTCCTTCAGTACATGCACACCAATAACGAGAATGCCACCTTTTAAAACCCCCATTTCTTTCCCCCCCCTTCCTGCACCCCTCTCATCCCCGTTATGGGCAGCACATGTTACTGTACGAGCTGTCGAACAACGAGATGGACATCATTCGAGACATCAACCGCACCTTCCCCACGCACGTTTACTTCATGCAAAAGCACGGCCCTGGGCAGAGGGCGCTGTTCAACGTGCTCAAGGCGTACAGTGTGTACGACAAGAAGATTGGATACGTGCAGGTGAGAGGGTAAGAAGAGTGGGTATGAGCAGTGCAGGTGAGAGGATAAGAGGGGTCAACCGCACCTTGCCCACGCACATCTACTTCATGCAGAAGCATGGGCCGGGGCAGAGAGCACCGTTTAACGTGCTCAAAGCATACAGCGTTAACGACAAGAAGATTGGCTAAGTGCAGGTGCAGCGTTTACGACGGAGGTTGATGACCCCCCCTCTCTTCACTCCCGCTTTCATTCCTTCCTGCACCCCCTCCTCTACGAGCCGAGCCCCTTCACTTGTCCCTCCACTCTTTCCTCCACTTCCCGAAACCTGTCACTCAAGGGCATGGGCTTCATAGCAGGCCTCATGCTCCTGACTGTTTCTCCTCCCTGACTCCAGGGAATGGGTTTCGTAGCAGCACGGCGCATGCTGCTGTACAGACACGGCGCATGCTGCTGTACAGACACGGCGGAGGAGGGCGCCTTCTGGCTGCTCGCGTGTTGCATTCAGTCAGTGCATGCATATACTCACTCCCTTCTCTCTTAACTCCCTGCTCGCCTTTTCTCCCTCTCAACCCCCCACCAGGCATAGCGGGGCTCATGCTGCTGTACAGACATGGCGGAGGAGGACGCCGTCTGGCTGCTCGTTTGTGGTGGCCATTCAGTGCGTGCATCTGCCTACTCCGTCCTCCCTTTCCCCATGCACACTCGTCAACCCCACCAGGGCATGGGATTCATAGCGGGGCTGATGCTGCTGTACAGTCATGGCGGAGGAGGACGCCGTCTGGCTGCTCGTGTGTGTCATGGCGCTGATGCAGTGGGACGTGCTTGTTCCCAAACCCCCCTCCCCCTCCTCCCAGGGCATGGGTTTTATTGCTGGTCTCATGCTGCTGTACATGGCGGAGGAGGACGCCTTCTGGCTGCTCGTGGCGCTCATGAAGGGCGCCAACCACACGTCACTCGAAGGAATCTTCCTCGTAAGTTCAGCAAACCTTCCTCCTAAGTGCTGTGAAACTTCCTTGTTGCGCTCATGAAGGGCACCAACCACACCTCGCTTGAAGGAATCTTCCTTGTAAGTTCCTGGAGTAAGGAACGGTCTCTAATCCAACAATACCTCTTCCATTTCAACCCACTGTGCTGCTTGAGTGCCTTTTGAGTCGACTCAAAAGTCAACTTCCATTTCAACCCACTGTGCTGCTTGAGTGCCTTTTGAGTCGACTCAAAAGTCAACTTCCATTTCAACCCACTGTGCTGCTTGAGTGCCTTTTGAGTCGACTCAAAAGTCAACTTCCATTTCAACCCACTGTGCTGCTTGAGTGCCTTTTGAGTCGACTCAAAAGTCAACTTCCATTTCAACCCACTGTGCTGCTTGAGTGCCTTTTGAGTCGACTCAAAAGTCAACTTCCATTTCAACCCACTGTGCTGCTTGAGTGCCTTTTGAGTCGACTCAAAAGTCAACTTCCATTTCAACCCACTGTGCTGCTTGAGTGCCTGCCCCTGTCTTTGCTCCGCTGTTTCATCCCCTTACCCCCATTTTTCTCACCCCTCCCTCCCTCTCGTTTCCCCCGTGCTGCTCCTTTCAGGTGGGTCTGCCGCTGGTCCAACAATATCTCTTCCAGTTCGATCGCTTGCTGCACGAGTGCCTGCCGCAGCTCGCACGGCACATGGAGGGGGAGGGGGTGACCCCATCCATGTACGCGTCTCAGTGGTTCATCACCGTCTTCGCCTACAGCTTCCCCTTTGCCACCACACTCAGAATATGGGACGTCTTTCTGTTTGAGGTGAGACGGTAGGGCACGGCACATATAAGGGATGGGCGAGGGAGTGACGCCATCCCTCCATGTACGCCCCTCAGTGGTTCATCACCGCTTTCGCCTACAGCTTCCCCTTTGCGACCACCCTGAAAATATGGGATGTGGTCCTAATTGAGGTGAGAGAGGGCCCGTCCTTTTGATCCCTGTGTAGTCTTGGTTGGTTGGTTGGTTGGTTGGTTGGTTGGTTGGTTGGTTGGGGTAAGATTTTCTGCGTAAGAAGAGGCAATGAGTATCTTGTCCCTTCCCCCCTCCCCCCATGGCAGGGCATGAAGACAGTGTTCCGGGTGGGACTGGCTCTGCTGAAGCAGCAACAGGACGATCTGGTATGACCTGCCTCCCCACGCACTGACATGAAGTCTTCTCTCTCTCCCTCTCTTCTCCCGCTTTTCATTTGCACCCTTTTCTCCCATGCCTTGCTCTTGCTTTCACCCCACTTCTATGTTGATTAACCCCGAAACTTGTTTTTTTACATGACCCCTCTTCTCTTCATTCTCCCTTGCAGCTGCAGATGCCCTTTGGTGACCTCACGCCGGCCCTCGGGACGTACCCCGATCGCATCCTGGAGCCAGACACACTTCCCATCGTCGCCTTCTCACCCCTCGAACTCCTTGGTACAACCATGCCTCATTCCCACCCCCCAACAGCTGCAGATGCCCTTTGAGGACCTCGTGCCGGCCCTCAGGACGTACCCGGACCGCATCCTGGAGCCAGACACACTGCTCAACGTCGCCTTCTCCTTCAATGTACGCACTAGAGGGGTTGAGGGTTAGGGTGTGAACGTCTGGGTTCAGAGTTTGCCTTTCTTGTCGCATCACTCCCTTTCTGATTGCATCCTGGAGCCAGACACACTGCTCAACGTCGCCGTCTCCTTCAATGTATTCGGTGGGAGATTCAGGGGTTAGAAATTTGGTTGAGATTTAGGGTTTGAAGGAATCGGAGGGATTGAGGGATCTGGAGGCGGGTGGAGTATATGGCAATGAAGCACCCGCCACCTTTTTGAGAGCTCTCAAAAGCAGTGCCCAAGACCCATGGGGAGACAGAGTGTGTGTAATCTCCCTGCCCCTCTGTCCTTGCAGGTCTCTGAGCGGCTGAGGGAGCTAAAGGCAGAGTACAATGCGATGCAGCACCATCTGTGTGCAACGCCCCTCCCTCTGCTCCTCCCAGAGTACAATGCGATGCAGCACCATCTGTGTGCAATGCCCCTCCCTCTGCTCCTCCCAGAGTACAATGCGATGCAGCACCATCTGTGTGCAATGCCCCTCCCTCTGCTCCTCCCAGAGTACAATGCGATGCAGCACCATCTGTGTGCAATGCCCCTCCCTCTGCTCCTCCCAGAGTACAATGCGATGCAGCACCATCTGTGTGCAATGCCCCTCCCTCTGCTCCTCCCAGAGTACAATGCGATGCAGCACCATCTGTGTGCAATGCCCCTCCCTCTGCTCCTCCCAGAGTACAATGCGATGCAGCACCATCTGTGTGCAATGCCCCTCCCTCTGCTCCTCCCAGAGTACAATGCGATGCAGCACCATCTGTGTGCAATGCCCCTCCCTCTGCTCCTCCCAGAGTACAATGCGATGCAGCACCATCTGTGTGCAATGCCCCTCCCTCTGCTCCTCCCAGAGTACAATGCGATGCAGCACCATCTGTGTGCAATGCCCCTCCCTCTGCTCCTCCCAGAGTACAATGCGATGCAGCACCATCTGTGTGCAATGCCCCTCCCTCTGCTCCTCCCAGAGTACAATGCGATGCAGCACCATCTGTGTGCAATGCCCCTCCCTCTGCTCCTCCCAGAGTACAATGCGATGCAGCACCATCTGTGTGCAATGCCCCTCCCTCTGCTCCTCCCAGAGTACAATGCGATGCAGCACCATCTGTGTGCAATGCCCCTCCCTCTGCTCCTCCCAGAGTACAATGCGATGCAGCACCATCTGTGTGCAATGCCCCTCCCTCTGCTCCTCCCAGAGTACAATGCGATGCAGCACCATCTGTGTGCAATGCCCCTCCCTCTGCTCCTCCCAGAGTACAATGCGATGCAGCACCATCTGTGTGCAACGCCCCTCCCTCTGCTGTGTTCGATGCTCCTCTTTGTCCTCCCAGGTCTCAGAGCGGCTAAGGGAGCTGGAGGCAGAGTACAATGCGATGCAGCACCCACCGCCCATCACAGGCCCCAAGGCGCATGGGGAGGTGGAGGAGGGAGAGAGGCACGAGGGGGCGGGAGGGGAGGGCCACCAGCGGAAAGGTATGGGTGAGGGAACGAGAGGGGGGGAGGGGAGAGGCGGTTTCCTGGTGGGATTTCATGAGCATTCCAGATCCATTGTTGAAGTCTGATGATAGTTTGCGTTGTCAGTTTGTTCCTTCCTGCCCTCCTTCCCCCATTCGCCCATTCTTTGACTCGAGTCAATCAAAGTCTGCTCTTTCCTCTCAATCAAAATTTACTTTCTCCCTGCCCATGCACTTTCCCTGGGCCTTCCCCTCCCCATGCGCCCAATCTCCCTCCCCCAGGCTCCCGGTTCCAAATCCGCCAGAGAATCAAATCTGCATTTTCCCGCCCACCAATAGCATAATTCTATCACATCCATGATTCATCTGCCAAGGCTTCTCCACCAAGCCATTGATTTCATTCTCACGTTCAGCTGCAGCTCACTTGTATCGCCATCAAGTATCTTAGCTGGGGAAGCAGCAAGCTGCACTCGATTCCTCTCCACTCTAGCTGCACTGCTGGGGGCCAAGCTCCCACTCTCTTCAGCCCTCCCCACTCACAGCCAGCCAGCCCTCCCCTCTCACAGCCTGCCCTCCCCACTTACGAAAAGTGTAACATTTTCCCTTCTGAGATTACGGACCTGCTATTTGGTGAAGTGGTCATGTCTAAGTAAACATACGGTAGTCAACTGCAATTTGTGCACTGCTTATCTGTGCTGCGCGTATTTGGTTTTGTCACTTTGGCGGCATGGCATGCGCAGCTGGGTGTGCTTGAGCTGTTACTGGCAGTAATAGCATGACAGCTCAGTCCGGTCCCCACTGTTGTATTTAGTGTAGCGTACCTTTTTGGGGTTTGCTATATGGTATGCATTGTATTTCGTTTAGTATGGGTATAAATTTAAATTCATTCATCATAGAGCAAAGCCTCGTTTCCACTGCAAAATCCAACTCATCACGGCAACAACCATGCCTGCTGCATTTTCTGCACATGTGCGGATCCTTCCACGTTCTAGGGATGAAAACGCTCGGAACGCTCCTGCGTGACTGTATCAGGGTGGCGAGACCCCTGCTGCCCTACCTTTCCCCGCAAGTCCCCGCGCTCTTTGCAGCAGCGGAGGCAGCCTGGAGGGTCCTGGTTAGGAGCCTATCCCGCACAGCCACCGTTTCCCTCCCGTTGCTGCAATTGTCCTAACATTTATCTATTTCAGGTATACCAGTAGGTCACATAAAGCCAAGAGTGCAGAGAAAACTTGCCAAGAGCACAAACAAGAACCGCATCGGTCCACTAGAACAATTCAACGTACCTTTGGCTGGAAGCAAATACATTGCAATGAAGTCTAGAGTCTCGCACAGAAAGTGCAGCCCTCCTTGAGTATCTTGTCTTCACATACGGTAACAATGGATTATGGTTACAGTACCTGACCCTGCTCTAGGCATGGGTTGGACAAGGCAGATGGGGTGAAGCATGAAACTGCACAAGGGAAGAAGCCAAGTACCAATGACCGATCATGCTAACCACCCTCCCACGCTCTTGGTAGCTTGGTACGGTAATAGGTCCAAACGCTCACAGCCGCATGACCGAACGGAAGAAAAACGCTCGGAACGAGCGTTTTTATACCCAAAACGCGGAAGGATCCGCACATGTGCAGAAAATGCAGCAGACGGTTCATTTGCCAGTACCAATGACCGATTGTGCTCGCCACCCTCCCACGCTCTTGCTGGCTTGGTAATAGGTCCAAACGCATACAGGCGCGTGACCGAACGGAAGAACAACGCTCGGAACGAACTTTTTCATCCCCAAACCGCGGAAGGATCCGCGCATGTGCACAAGCATGATTAATTCGCCAGTACCAATTACCGACCGTGCTCGCCACCCTCCCACGCTCTTGCTGGCTTGGTAATAGGTCCAAACGCATACATGCGCGTGACTGAACGGAAGAACAACGCTCGGAACGAGCGTTTTCATCCCCAAAATGCGGAAGGATCCGCACATGTGCAGAAAATGCAGCAGGCATGGTTCATTCGCCAGTACTAATGTCAGCATTTGTGGGCAGGCGCGGCCGCCATCGCCGGCGCCGAACTTTTCGGTGTGCGCGAACCAAGCTGAAGCTGCTCTGGTAGGTGTATTTGAGCATGGGCCACCCGAATATGCAACAACATTCGGGTCGTTGGATGCTTCTCCCTACGCCTATGGGAATCCACGCGCTTCCTTAACGCAGACGACAAACTTTTTCTGTTCGCGCGAACCAAGCTGAAGTTGCTCTGGTAGGTGTATTTGAGCATGGGCCACCTGAATATGCAACAACATTCGGGACGTTGGACGCTTCTCCCTACGCCTATAGGGATCTACGCGCTTCCTTAGCATTTGTTGGCAGGCACGGCCGTCATCGCTGGCGCCGAACTTTTATTTGCGCGTGGACCAAGCTGAAGTTGCTCTGGTAAGTGTATTTGAACATGGACCACCTAAATATGCAGCAATATTCGGGTCGCTGGACGCTTCTCCCTACGCCTATAGGGATCAACGCGCTTCCTTAGCATTTGTCGGCAAGCACGGCCGTCATCGCGGGCGCCAAACTTTTCTGTGCGCGCGAACCAAGCTGAAGTTGCTCTTATATGAATATTTGAACATTGGCCACCCGAGTATGCAACAATATTCGGGTCGTTGGATGCTTCTCCCTACACCTATAGGGATCCTTGCGCTCTCTTAGCATTTGTGGGCAGGCACGGCCGTTATCGCGGGCGCCGAACTTTCCCGTGCGCGCGAACCAAGCTAAAGTTGCTCTGGAAGCTGCATTTGAACATGGGCCACCCAAATATGCAACAATATTCGGGTCGTTGGATGCTTCTCCCTACGCCTGTAGTGATCCACGCGCTTCCTTAGCATTTGTGGGCAGGCACGGCCGTCATCACGGGCGCCGAACTTTTTGTGAAACTAACTGAACAGGAATGAATTGACTAAGTCAGAGTTGGGTACAAATACAACCCTAGCAAACTGTACCCCATATGTGCTACCCCACTATAGCCTACAAACATGCATCAGCTATAATAATCTGACACACCCCCATAGGCAAAGTGGGGGAGAACAAGGGGTCACAAGACCAGTCAAACAAAGCAAAGCAAAGCAAGCTCAGGGTGGATCACAAAGTCACCACACAGTCCGAGCACAAGAGCAGGGCCAGAGGCCAGTTCACATGCAGGAGTACAGACATATATATAAAACTAGACAAGCAGGAGCAGGTATATATATGACAAAGTACAAGTAAAGTCAAGAAGAGAGCAAGTGAGGCAAGACAGGTACAAGACCCAGCTGGGTACAAAAGCGCTGATGGTCACAAGGCGCAAGTGCCTTGGTGAACACATCAGCAGTGTTGGCCTCAGAGGCCACGTAAGCAAGTCGCAACTGACCACGCTGCTGCAGCTCACGAGCAAGGAAGTAGCGGAGAGCAATGTGCTTCGTTCTGTGCTCCAAGCGCTGCTCTCGACACAAGGCCAGCATGGCCTTGTTGTCTACGTACAGCACTGGAGGAGAACGAGGCGGCTCTCCAAGGTCGGTCAGCAGGTAGGTGAGCCAGCGAAGCTCCTGTGCAGCCATGGCCCCGGCGTAGATCTCAGCCTCACAACTGGAGCCGAGAACCGAAGACGAGCGAGTAGACCGCCACGAGACAGAACCGGAACCAAGGCTGAAGGTGTAACCCTGTGACGACCGCTGCGTAGCCTGGTCGTCAGCCCAAGAAGCGTCCGCGTGGCCGGTAAGGACCACTGGACTCCGCCCTCCAAGCACTAGCCCCATGCCCGACGTACTGCACAGGTAGCGCAATACCCTCTTCGCTGCAGCCATGTGCTCCGGTCTGTGTCTCCCAGGAGCAACATAGCGTGCAAGAATGCTCAGAGGGTATGCAAGGTCAGGTCGTGTGCAGGTCATCAGGTACATGAGGCAGCCAACAAGCTCTGCATACGGACCACTCGACTCTACGGACTCATCCAAAGGCAGAGCTGAGAGTGAGTGGCGAGTAGGCAGAGGAGTGGCCTGAGGCGAGGAGTACGTGAAGCCGAAGCGCTGAAGGACCTGCTGCACCATGTGTGACTGAGTCAGGGTAATGGTGCGACGTGCTCTGTCCCGAGTGATCTGCAAGCCAAGGTAGCTGCGCAGTTCACCCAGGTCAGTGCACGTGTGTCTCTTCAGCAGCTCGGACTTCACGTAGGCGAGTCCAGCAGTGTCCGCTGTGGCAAAGACCAAGTCGTCGACGTACACGAGGATGTAGAACGGCGGCAGGGAAGTGTCGGTGCGAAGAAACAGCGACGGGTCAGCAGTAGAAGGAGCAAACCCAAGAGCCGCAAGCGTAGTCCTCAGTGTGTCGTGCCACTCACGCGGTGCCTGGCGGAGACCGTAGACTGGCCGTCGGAGGCTCCACTGGGTGCCAGGAGGGAAAGTCCCAGTGAAGCCAGGCGGACGGCGCAGCCAGATCTCCTCGTGCAGGCTACCCTGCAGGAACGCAGTGCTGAAGTCGAGGGAGTGAAGCTCGTAGTCGCGCTGAGCGGCAATGTGCAGCAGCACCCGAAGAGTGGTCATCTTCGGGGTGGGAGAGAAGGTCTGAAAGTAGTCAACTCCCTGCCGCTGACTGAAGCCACGAGCCACGTAACGCGCCTTAAAGACAGGCGGGGAGCCCGGCGGCCGCTTCACCCTGAAGATCCACATGCCACTGACGATGTTAGCCCCAGGAGGGGGAACCGCGTCAACGTAGGTGCCTGTGGACTTCCAGGAAGCCATCTCTGCATCCATAGCTGCCTGCCACTGAGAGGAGTAGGGACCCTCTACGGCCTCCGCGTAAGAACGCGGAGTCGGGATGTCTAGTGCATCCGGGTCTCCCTCAGGGGCAAGCAGTACAGACGCGAGATGAGGTGAAGCAGCCGCTAGACACTGTAACTCCTCCTGCCTGTCCTCTAGGACGTCCGTGCCAAGGGCACACTCACCCCCGACGGACGGAGGACAGGCGGACTCAGACTCAGCGACAAGACGAGCAGCGTAGTCTAGACGACAGCGCGCAGCAAAGTCGACAAGCTCAGTGACAAGGGCAGACGCAGCAGACGACTCAAAGGAAGGGTCAGTGACTGCAGTAGCAAGGAGACGCGTGACAGTAGGACTGGCAGCACGAAGAGAGTCCGACTCCGGGTCGGCAAGAGCAGGAAGAGAGGAAGCATGAGGAGAAGGCAAAGGGGCACGCAGAGGAGCAGTGGACGGACGCAGTGACATCCGGTGCGTGCCAGGGACAGGAGGAGGACGCTGACGCGACCCGCGACCACTAGCGCGCTCAGTACGAACAGGCGACGCAGGACGAGACGCAGGCTCACGACGCTCAGTAAGACCTCCAGTCGGACCAGC